ATATAATGTAAGTTGTACCGTTTTTCCGAAGAAGAAAATTGTTGCCTCTCGATGCTACTTTATCATATCATCGTTGTGAATAGTATATTGTTATACGCGAATTTATTGTCCCGTTTATTCCTTCTATTTTAAGAAGGATATCTCATGTGACATTCTTTATTATTATACAAATATATTGCATGTGACCCTAAAAAAGCCAACATGTGAAACTAAATTATAACGCAAATATCTATTTAAAAGTATCCCATAATCCTTGAAATTGTTACAAATACAAAGGAACTTGCAATTGTTGACTCATGTATTGAGGAGATTAATATAATTGTAGACTATGAATATTGATAATGTTTGATAACGCGACAAAATTTTCTAAACTTTGGCAATCAAATGCAGCCTTCTTTTACCATCATTAGACTTTGAAAAATTCGTAATAATCTAAGTTTTAAAATTACTATTATCATCAGAGTTCCTTGTTGCGCCTATAACAATCATTCTTGACAAACAAAAATATCATGTGAATTAAAGATTAATAGAATTAGCTTCATAGTTTCATTGAAAATTCAAATTTTTATAACAAAATATACTAGAAATAAATGTATACGATGAAAGTTTAATAATCCTCGTTGTGTAAAATTCTATCGGACTTTAGAACTGTCTTTGTCGAAAAAAAGTACTTCGTAAGGCGAAAACAGATTGTATTATTTTTCATAAATGGTCACAAAGCTATAATTATACAATAATTTTTATTAAGTACAATACTCTACGTCACATTATTACATTTTTCAAATATTATCATTATCATAAAATTATGCCAATTTATGTAAAACGAGTATAATGTTTATTACAGCAATTCAAAAGAAATTTAAATAGCAGTATGAACTTTCTTAAAATTGATCGATTCTCATGTAAAATATATTACCTTTTTGTTTATGATAATCAACAACATATTTTAATATACCTACAAACCAACAACGAATTTGACTACTACGTTAACTATGCTACATTAATAATTTCAGAAAATAACAACGATCTGAATCATTGGAAAATGTTTTACAAAATTTCTGAATTAATCCCAAATTAATTCTAATTTCTTGCAATTTAGATTTCTTCCCGGCGATTAAGATGGTTTTCGTATAGTGACTCAACCGTTGTACTGCGACGTAAATAGGGATAACACTTGCACGGCGTTCACCCAACACTTTCGAGATATATCGTGTGTAGTTGAAAAGTTACCAGTATTGTACGCGCTGTGCTTCTTACAATTTCGACGGTGTGCTGCTTGTCCCTCGCACGTTACGATCATTATAAATCTTTCTTTTTTTTTCAATTACACAACAATTTAATTGAAGTAAAATCATGAGTTTCAAAGAAAACGAATGTGTTATCGTGGACAGTGTGAGTTTTTACTGTAGTGTATTTCATTAAAAAGTGATCGAACGTATACAATTTCGACGAAAAATGTTTGGAACCGATTTCACGCATGAGGTATAATCGTGCAGGCGACCGTCAAAGAAAATAACGATAACTTTCCGTACTTCGTTAACATTCAAGGTAACAATATAGCTTCTTGTTAAAATACACGCAAACAACTACTTGTCAATGAAAATAGGTGAATAAAAATTTATGTTAGCCGTAACAGTAACTTAGTAATGTTTTTCCAATAACTTTTCCGTATCGGAAATAAGAAAAATTTGTAAAATATTACGGAGACAGTTTTTGACTGACTAACAAATAAGATCGAAGATACGATCTAATGGCTGTTCAAATTTTTTTATAATTTATACCGACTGTGAAATATAACGATTGTTTTATATTATTTATTAATCATTGCGGGAAATAATAAAGAAAGTTCTTTTCATGTAAGAAAACTGACTTCGTTTTTGGCAAATTTTTGAAAGGTGGGAGGTATAGCCGTTACCTGAAGAATGTGCAGCCCGCATCTTTTATTGGATGTCGTCTCGACCTATATTTTCATACTGTTAGTTACACGTCGCCCTTCCAATTCCATACTTCCTTTTTTTCTTTTCTATACTTACGTCACCTATGAAATTTGACGGTGTACCTAATCGACGAAGCAATAAAATATGCTAATTTATGCAGATAGCGGTGTGCCCATGTTCTAAACACGATGTATTATCAATAACTGAAGAAACGAAGAGCTCTTTCAAAACATGATAATCATATATTCTGTAAAAATTTCGAAAGTTTGATACATTAATTGGTAAATACATCGATTATGAATCATATTTTAATATATCTTATTCCATAGGTTCAGTATTATCTATATGTTAATCTTTGAACATATTTACCCCTCGAAATAATAATCTACATTAATTTATTATCTAATGCTTTATTTTTCTTTCAACAAATTAAACTTTATTTTGTAATAACAATATGTTACGATGAATATGCAGTTCTAAGATTCGAATAGCCTATTTGTAATCAAGCAACAATTTCTGCGCATGCGCAATATACAAGAAACGAGCGGGGAGAATCATAACTTCTAAATTATTTGAATTAAACGTGCTAAAGTATATCAACTTTAAAATTTATTCATCGTTTTTCTCTGAGGAAAAATCGTAATTATTGATTTTAGACTTTCACAAAATTTACATGCTCACCTTGAAAAAGTCGTCGGGAAGATTAAAAATGAAACGTATGACGACATAATTTTTAATAGCAAAATTATTATTCACTACTTTCTCAATATTTCATTTAAAAATCTTGATTGTCACTTTCAGTACCACTTTTCCTTGAATTTATTATTTAAACACTATACGTAACACTAAATATAAGATACTTATACCCTATTATTAGATCCATTGACTAAAACAATTTCTAACACCACAAACTACGTCACTACCATTTGATATTACTTATTGCCAGTTTTTAACGATGTCACGAAGTATAGATAAATATCTGAATAGCACTGTATAATGTCATCATAATTACTTTATAACACAATAACTGAGCATTACATCACGTTGTATATCGATCAATCAATGACATTTTCATTTTTACACGATATTCTTTCTCTTTTCTTGTAACCAGTGATCGTGATATTTCTCTCTCTTAAAAAACTGCTATTTTCAGGTTATTAAAATTCACCGCCATCGTTGAATCCTTCCGTAGCCTTTTTTTCCTCGCACCTTACATCCGTATTATGCGAATGACACTGGTAGTTTACGTGCTTGAAATACAGGCTACTTGTTTCACGACGAAAGACAGCAAGTGGCCGCGATTGATGATTCGAGGAATTCGCTTGGCACCGATCGTTCAGAGCACGTACATATACTTTCTCAGGATAAAAGATCGCGACTGACTCGACTCCTCGATTCATGATTTATGCTCCTCCTCGGTTGTTATTCTTACGTTTATGGCAACATTAATTACGCCAAGACATTTATTATCTCTTAGAAATGTTTAATTGTACCTTGTCCTCTTCGATTTATTAATCGAACTGACGGGATTCGTTCACAATTAAATTACATACAATAAATTCACCGTGTGAGAAAAGATTATTTGAACGAATTAATAAAACGTGGCAATACTTTATTGAATTAACTCTTTCGTGACTGAATTATTCTTTTTTTTTTTCAGAATTCGTTATTGATCCATCGATCATGACGTCTTAGTCACGAAAGAATTAAATTAATAATGTGTAGCAGGTAATATAGTTCGAAAATAAAATATGACGTCATTTTGAATTTTCTCGTTGCATATTAAGGTGGGAAAAAAATTTGAATCGCTTAAAGAGAACTGTTTCGCAGTAAATATAACATGTTACACGTATCTTTATTCAAATGATAAAGTTTTAAACCTGCAAAAACTGAATTTTTTAAGAGAGAAGAAAACCAGTTTGTCGATTAATGTAAAATCACCTTTACACTGATTTTATTCATCAACTAGTTTTTTTTTAGTTACTAGATAAAATCAGTGGAAAAGTGATTTTACGCGAATTAACAAAGTGGTTTTCTTTCTCTTCTGGGAAAGTACGTTTTTGCAGTTTCGTAACTTTATCATAGGAACGATGATACGACATGTTGTCTAATATTTCAGCTAACGAAGCGTAGTTGTTTGCATTTATTATATGTATTTATACAACCTGGTTAATACTATGAAAGAAAAAGTGAATGTTGCATTTTTAAAAATTAGGAGCTATGTTTAGAAATTAGTTAATAATTTGGATTGCAATAATTATATATCTTTCTAAAGTAAGTATAACAGTTATAATAAGATCTTTTGTTAAATACGGAAATAGTATTATTTATTCGAGTACACCAAGCAAAAAATTTGAACTGACGCAATTACGTAGTTTTTTTGCATACGCTTTTCATATTTAGTCACGTTCGTGTCATCTGCACGTGTCGTTTCTACATGCAAAATGCTACAAGAAAGACACACGATAAATGTTTTTACGTTATGTAATTAACACCTGTTTGCATATTAACGTTGCTCCTACTGTCGATTTTCATCGATGTAAGTTTCGATGACTTCTTTTGTAATTCAAATTATGGGATGTTCTTTTCTATTCGACAGTTATTTGACTTAATTATGTTTGCTTTAGAGTTAAAAATTTCACTTGTGGTTACACACTTGTTCTTTCATTTTCAATTCTGTTGTTATCTAAATGTTATCTTAAGTTTCGTTATGATTAATATTTACTGCGGTAAATAGAAGAAAATTGATATTTAGAAAGTACGCTAGGGTGAACCGTGAAATTACGTTAAAAAAAAAAAAAATAGACAGTGTATTAAATTTCTTTTTCGTATTTTATTTAATCTCATCTTACTTAACTATTGCGGAATAAATATCTTTCGTTTAGTTAAATTGTAACGATTTAGAAAACTGATCTGCACGAAAGTTAAGCGAATTTCGTTTCGTCTTTTTTTTTTGCAAATCATTATAATTTATATAAACGAAGATTGTAAAAATATTAATATCAGGAATACTCGATGCATTTCATTGATAAGTTACGATCGAAAAACACTTTTCAGACGTTAACACGAACGAAAATGTGTCGAAGTATACTTTATTTCTCTTCCACTTTCGTTCAAGTCTCTTTTTAAGACTTTACTAATTGCTACACTAACAAGCATTGACGCTCCAATTAGTAGTTAATCTAATTTATTCTATTCTTAATTTATGTTCGTCTAATTAAGTTTCTTCTTCCATGATTTTTACCGACATCAATCGGCTAATTAAAGGACACTACCTTATTGACCAAAAGTACATACATATGTAGAGCAGTATTTGTACCTTAAAATAGAATCTAGCGTTGAAGTAAAATTTACATTGAAATAATTCTCGAATTGTAATTCACAAAATTGTGTCCAATGAACAAATTACATTTTCCAAACCAAGGTAAAACAAATGAATAAATTATTCAATAATTATTACATTAAGAAATTAATCTGAATTATTTTGAATAATTAAATTACTAACTAATCTTCGTTATTTTTAATAATTTCTTTAATTTTGAAAAGATTACAGCGCAAGAACTTCAACAATGGAAGCATACACACAGAAAGATTACGAAAAAAAGAAAAAAAAGAAAATTTTCTTCGTTTCAAAAGAAGAGACAACTTAACCTCTGAAAACTAATCGATCACATCTATCGTCGTTTCCCCGTTTCAACACCATAAATCGACGTACTTCCCTGACTATGTTACAACCATAATTTAAATCTCATTAGACAACACGTACGTCTGTCAGCGGCTTACGTCAATCAAACTAACGATTATTCTCATTTTTCATCTTGTCCAATTCACAAGAACGATGACGATCGTATCTCATGACTTGGCCGTGGTTCGACGAAAAAGTTGCGCGCAACACAGAGAGAGCCCGGGCAATAATGCAAAAATGACGTACGGCTTTCATTATCGGGCATCATTCAGGCACGGAAATAAGCCTTGGAAATTGATAAAACAAACGATTTAACGCGCCGTCGCGCACACTCCTCGAACGATAATCGACCGGCCAGCCTCACCGTTGATAAGCGATAATTCAGGAGCATATTACGCATATAATGTGTATGTGGAACGAGTTAGATGACAGTGACTAATGAGGCGGTCGCGCGTTAATTACGATGAAGCCGGACTTTCGATTGGGGGTACAAGAGGAGGCGACCCTGCCGATGGTAAATTCGTTCATTCAACTCTCCGCTTCTCGTGCTTGCCGTTTGACGTGATTTCTGTTCACTACTTTTTTTTTTTTCCCAAACATTGTGCTGTTAGATCATCCCATACATTCTTGTCTCGAATTTTGTAATTTAGATCGATAGTTCTAACGATCCTTTAAATTTGATTAAAAAAAAAGAAAACTAATTTTTTTTTTTGTAAGATTTTGTATAGAATTTTCTTGGATTTTTATTAAAATATTTTTCGATTTTTGTACGAACTTATGGGATCACCTAATATATTCGTGCATTATGCTTTTGGTGTTTTGCATTTTGTTTGGAGTTCCTTGAATTGATTATAAAGTTAAACTTCTTTTGCACTTTAATTTATTACTTGGAAATTATTTTAACTGTTGTTTTAATGAAAATAGTGCTGTGTTAATTTTTAAGAATCGATGAAACAATCTCTGCAGCTGATATATTCAATTTTTATTCTCTTTCAATATAGATCTCTATAGATCTTTACTCTCTGTTATGACTAATTTTTAATGTTTATTTATTTTAAAATTCTTTTCAACATAAATTTCTACTTTAATTGAAGAAAAAAAAATAATTCGTTCAATAACAAGCGATCAAATGCGAATTTTTATTCTCTTTTTTTTTAATTTTTATTTATTTCAAAATATTTTTCAACAAAAATTTCTACTTTAATTGTAGAAGAAAAAGTAATTCGTTTAATAACAAGTTACGTAGTTGTAATATCGTTTAAAATGTCACGAGGATAGGTTGAATTATAGCAAGCTGCGAAAGCGAGCACAACGAAACTGTTAATATACGCGAGTTACGTAGCCTCTCAAACGATAATCGACCAGCTGGACATCGTTGATAATTGATAACTAACAAACACTCGAACGAAGCGAGCGCAGACAGATTGCAATTAATTTTTCACGTGTTACCTATGACCTCATTTTACAGACACAACGATTTTTCTTATCGATCGACTGGTAGCCGATACAGACTTCACGTGGCCGTTGCAGAAATAGTTAGCTAAATCATGCAGTGATTAATCAGAATAAAATTAAAAAAAGGAAAAGTGGAAAAAGTGAAAAAAAGAAAATTGAAAATAGTAAAATATTTAAATTATATATATTGAATAAAAGAGTAGTTATGTTAAAGTGTTGATAATTTCATGTTTTCATTTAAATACACAAAGTGAAGAATATACTTGTCCATTGGATACAAGTGTTCACTTAGAAATTCATCTAAAAATTCACTTCAATTAATAGAAGAACATATATATTCTATTAATTATAATACTACAAATGTTAGAATACTTTTTGTAATATGTTAATCTAGGAATGAATCATTTGTACTTGATTCTTGTAGCATTTAATTTTAATTTTAATTAAGACTTAATATTCGCAATATTATACAACTGGTTTGTTTAAATACATTGTCCACAAAGACAAAGAATTTTCAGATGAATTTAAGTAAAAACTTGTATCAAATGGACAAGTATATTCTTCATCTTCAATATTTAAATGAAAACATGAAATTATCAACACTTTAACATAACTAAATATGCATACAATAGTTGAAGCAATCTCTTGACCCAGTTTTCAGATTTTATCAAAACTTTTATACTTCATGCAATGCTGTGACAAATGGAACAAAACATGTTTGTGTAAACACATTGTCCATGAAGGTAATAAAAATTTCTAAGTGAAAACTTGTATCAAATGGACAAGTATATTAATAATATAATAAATAACTAACACTTCAACATAACTGCTCTTGCCTTTCATAACTGAATATATAATCTTCAAAAAAAAATCTCTCAACCCAGTTTTGAGATTCTATCAGTGCTGTGAATTATTCAGCTAATTTTCCCAATACTGTATACCTTTATCACAAACAGAAAAAATAAACAAACACCCAAAACACTCAATAGATCTGCATATTAAATTAAGAACGTACTAGTGTTTGAAACTTTTAATTGCACTGTAATTGAACGGTTAACAAGCTTAAACGTGAGGTAGACAAACACCTTAATTAACACTCTACGGCCATTAGATGGATCAACGAACCGTGATTTGAAAATCGGCCGCGCTAAGAGGTCGCGTTAATTTAGAAATGACACACGCCACGTTTAATCCAGCTCGTTAAGAAGGCAAATGATGAAATGGAAATGAGTAATATGCACACAATGAGAGTATATCTTAGCGAGGCGGCACACAAAGCGGCCGGCGAAGGAGCATGTCAAATAGCAACGCTAAATAAGGCTGCGAGATAACAACAGCTGCACTTGGCCAGCAGAATAATAATTGCGTTACGATACCTGGTGTGAATGCACTGTGTCGCTTTTTTGTAGTGGCAAGACCAGAGAGGATTCTGCAAGCGTTCTTCTTTCGTAACGTGTGCCTTAGGATTACCATAAAGGGACTGTGCAGATATTCAACCATGATCCTTGAGAAGTTCTTCTCACAGGCAAGAGGAGGCCCCTGTGGAATTGAATTTATCGTTAAAACATTTCATTGACGTATTACTACGTGGAAAATGATTAATATCTCATATAAAAAACGTATCATATTGATGATATCTGTGATCTTATCAGCATATGTCTTACTTTTAATAGTTTTTATATTTTGTATATCTTATACATAACAGTTTGATATTTTTGATTCATCCTTTTTGATAAAATGAAGCTTTAACAAATTTTAATGCAAATACTAACTATTGACAGTTAAAAGTTAATTCAAAATTACTGGTTTACTATCACTAGAGAAAGCTTCTTTTATTAAATTCATGAGTGATTTAGAAAAGAAAGTTATTTTAAAATTTATTGTATTGAGCTTATGATATAATGAATCTTTGAAAAAGTCAAACAATTACACTGAAGCATGTAGAGAAAAATAATATTTTTGTTTAATAAACGAAATCAATTAGAAATAGAGCACTGGTCGCTATTCTCATTTCCGGATGATACCGCGATACCGTTTTACACGTATCAACACCGCTCTAACTAACTTTACTGACGGTCTAAGGACACATTGATACTGAAGTATAGTTTGTGGTCATCTTGTGGTTAACTAAACCGCGATACCTTGAAAGTCGTTTTACACGTATCAACACCGCTCTAACTAGCTTTACTGACGGTCTAAGGACACATTGATACTGAAGTATAGTTTGTGGTCATCTTGTGGTTAACCGACATTTACACGTTTTCTGGATCATTAACCATTAATCACAGCTACTAATTTATTACTTGATTAATGAAGTGATTAGAAGGATGACGAATCAATCCAAGCTTAAATGTTTCTTCACCTCCTCAGGCTATTTTGAATACTTTTTTGAATAACATTTTCTACCTGACCATTATCCTTATTTTTCTAAAGAAACCAATTATATAACTACTAAAACATTTAAAAAATCGTTCCTGAATAAATGCGACTTGTAAAAAAAAACTACACGAATAATAAAAATTTAAGCTACATAATTTTAAAAATGTTGAACGATTAGTTTTTTTCTTCACGAAAGATTGATTCGCAAAACAAAAAAACCGAGATGTTACGTGTTTTTTTTAACGTCCATTAAAATTCTTTAAGCTTGAAAAGCCTGAATGGCAGGAACATTCCACGGAAGATACTTCAATGTCTGGACTCGTCGGATCTCTACGGGGTTTGGAGGACAGTTCTGGGAATACAGCGCAGCCGTATCGCAGGAACAGCTTAGCTTTATCGCTGCACTCGAATTTGGCCGCATTTCCGGTTGCAAATAATCAAGAAGTGTCGCCGTTTCACGTCGTTGATTCAGCACGAAGGAGGTTCAGCAATGTCAGCGATGTCGTCTCCAGAAAGATTTCTCACACGATTCGCTGGAGAACAGTTTCGGCCTCGATCGAGCTCACAGTGTCGCAGGTATACCACCTGTTTTATAAATTATTCCGTTATTAGTTTAACAGCTTTTGTACAAATTTAAAAGTTACTTATACTATTTAAACACTTTGTGTAACAATTTCTTGATAAATATTACAGTTCAAAATTTATATAAATCAATAATTCAAGAAACATAAACTCTATTGAAGACATATTAATTTCTAATGAGTAAAAAATAAATAGCTGTTAATATTTATTATACTCAGATATTCATTTGTTACTTTTAGAAATTTCAAATTGGATACTTTGTAACAGAAAGGTAGAACGATTATAATTAATGTGTGCACAGGGATCCTCGCTATGTGCTCAATATATTCGGAACCGTTTAAAACGATCAGGAATCTTTCATCGAAAGCTTGGCCTGAAACGAATGAGGAGCGCTATGCTGCTTCCTGGTGGTGCAGTCGTCGGAGAAGTTTATCCAGAGTTGGTATGGGTCGGAGCTGAACTTGAGAAGATGCATCCAAATTTATTCAACCGTGTCTCTCGACAAATTGGTTGCGGTAGTTTCTCAACGGAACAGTCTGCCAGCGAGGCCATCGTCGATGTCTCCAGGGAGATGATCAGGAATGGAGAGATGACTTGGAGCAAAGTGATAGCCCTTTATGCAATAGCTGGTGGCATTGCCGTCGACTGCGTACGTCAGGGCAAACCTGAATATTTACTTGCCATACAGAGAGGCAAGTAACTATTTTAAAATTCAGATGTTATTCTTCTGATCTTGAACTCGTTGTTTCAATTGTAAAAACCGTCGATTTAGCTGTAAATAGCGAGGAAAATACTTATGAAACGTTTAATATTATACAATGATTAAAAATTATGTTCTATTTGGTATTAGGAATGACAGACGTTTTAGAAGAGGACCTTGCAGCATGGATACAAGCCAATGGCGGATGGGTAAGATAGAATGAATTACAAATAGCAATGGAACAAAGAGAGAATATTTTTTTTTGTATCTTAAAAAAGTTATATTTTTCATTTTAGTCCACTCTAACAACACGATACAGACCTGTGACGAATGAACCAATATGGTACTCACGGAAACTTATACTGTTATTTATATGTACCAGCCTAATCGTTTTTATGATCTCGATATTTTTAAAGTTTTTAGTTTTGTGACACGCCTTAAATATAATTATATGAAAACTGATGCATCGTATCATATTTCAATTGAATTCCTGATTAATGTAAAAATGTTACATTAATTTTTGAACAGTTGAACAATTTATCGTACGATCTATCCTTCCACGGGATTAATTGTATTTTAATTTGAGGTACTTTGAAATGCAGGTTCATTATACTTGATTTTTATATATTTTAATAAATAATTTGTATAAACGAAACTAGTGTTACGCTTTCAGATATGCATTTCTTGCTCTAATGTTTCATTCATTTGCCTTTCCGCTTTCGGTTGTTCAACTTCGTCTCGCTTAAAGGAAATCTTTTCCTCGGCATCCTGGTGAAAACAGTTTATAGTCTCACTGTTTAGTAGACACATAGAAAATTATGTGCAAAACGTTCACAGTTGTGCAATAGGATAAAAGTATTCAATTTACTTGACTTTTCGCCACGTTCGTCATATAAGCAAGAAAACTTTGATTTGTTTCTTTTTTGTTTATTACATTAAGATATTTCCTCCGTGCGTTTAATACTTCGTCAAGTTGCTTTTTATGTCTAATTGCCAATTCTAACGCTCTAAATAAATAACAAATTCAAAAATAATGTTTTAAAAATTATTCTAATCAATTAAATAAACAAAAATAAATACCTATTCCAATTGTACACTTCAATGTTGATTCGTATGGCCTCTTCGACTAATCCATTTTGCAAAAGTATTCCTTCTGCAGTTAATAAATCTCCCGACAGAAGTGCCATTTCGGCTAATCTTTCTGTCTTATTTGGTAAACTCTTTAATATAAACAAATTTTGAATTACTGATTCGTTCAGAAAATAATTATATCTTACTAATGTATCTGCATTATCACCTTTATGTATTGAATATAATCAACTTTATCATATCGTGAGATTGCCGCGTATGCTTCTTCAGCAGCGTTCAATTCCTTATTGTCAGTTGCCATAACAGCCATACAAGTCCATAATATTTCATTCTAAAAATTTTCAGGTTTTCAAGGAAATGTTAATTTATTTTAGAAGATTTACATCAATTTATTGAGGAAAGGAAAATTAATTACCTGAGCAATTCGACAAAGTGACACGGCTTCTTTCCACCTTTTGTTTAATATATGTTGATGAAGACTAATAAAAAACGTATAAAAGGAAGAAGCTACTAGAGCACCATCACCACGTCGTATCATTACCATTCCGTTATAAACATTTGCTATACTTGGCTGTTTACCAAATTCGCTAAAAAGATCGATAAAAAACGATTCTCATTAAGAAGGAATAATAAATTGTAATTTATACGATAGAGTTAAAAATATAAAACCTGCTTTCCTTGTCGATCCTGGTTTTTCGTATAATTTTACGATCACTATAATGCACACAATTGGGACACAGCCACACAGATAGTGTTGCATCCAACATCGCTGCTAAAACATTTGCATCGGTAGCCCACTTAATATCTTGAGCCATAGCAGCTAAAAGATATAATAAAAAATTTCAGAAATGCTGCAAATGCATAAGCATAAAAACGTTTTTGAAGAACTACATACCTATTTTACATACTCTGCCAAAACCAGTGGTCCTTATAGAAACCAGAAACAAATCTTTATTTGTATCAATTAATGCTACTTGTCGATCGTTTACTCCGCCAATGTAATTAAGTGCAACTCTTGAAATATTTTGAAGATGTGTATAAGCCTGGTTTTCTGTTATAGGTTTATTGTAAGCCACTTCTAATACATAAAGTTCTAAAGAACATGTTTCGTCAGAATCTTTATACATTTATAATTTCTCTTTTAGTATTGAAAAAGATGTTTTATCATACGTTTTTCGTTACTTTGGGATCGTATAACTAAAGTGTCAGAACACAACGATACACAAGGAGGATAAAGTCGTTCCTGTGTCATTCCTTTCCATTTTGGAGTTCCTAATAAACGACCTTGATAACTATACAGTGATACGCTATTCCATTCCACTAATAAAAAGTGCCTACAAAAATATATATTCATAAATGACGTTTCATTGATCATTTGTAATAAATAAAATAATCGATATGTACTTTTCTGCAAGAAGTACTGCTGACACACTAGTATTTTTCAAATCGAATATGGCAGGGGTATTCCAATTTACTACGGAATAAATGTGACATTGCGCCGGTGTAATTACAACTAAATGATCGAAACCAAATTCCAATTGAACCACGCGATCTGATATCTCCAGTGTTTCTCTTATTTCATTACCCACATCTCTAACTTCTATCACTTTTCTTGTGACCAATATGGCTTCATAATTATTCCATTCCAATCTCCTGTTTATCGTTCGTGTTAAATACACAAATATAAATAAAGTTGTCGAGGATAATATCTTGTTTTATATGTTATCAATATCTTCTTTTTTATACCTGTCTATTATATGACCTGTTAACACAGTTCCATTACTACAAGCCATAGATACTTGAGTGCTGTCACTTGACCAAGCAATACTGTATATACTTCCAGCATTAATTTTCTCTAATGAATGAGACCACTAGAAATGTATTCAGATTAGTGAGAAAGATTACACATACAAGTGACAAAATAATATATAAAAATAAACTAACTCCTGTCTTATCACAAAGTTTGATTGTATTAAATGATCCAACAGCAAAGTAGTCTCCAGAATAACTCCAATTTACTGCTGTAACAGGGTGATCTCCCACACTACTAGAAAACAACTGAGTGCCACTAGAATCCCACACCTTCAAGAGAAAATTTAACTCTTTATTGATTATAGTATTTGCATAAATAAATGTTATTTGAAATTTATATTACATTCTACCTTGTATCTACAATCTTCCCCACCAGAAATGATTAATCCATGAGTGTGACACCAAGATAAAACCAAAATGAGACCATCATGAGCTAATAACTAAAATAAAATTTTTCTCTAAACATTATTCTGATTTTTTATTTATACAAATACTATTAAATTCTTTAACCTTTCGTGGTTTGGAATTAGAATTCAATGACTGAAATGTTAAGTGTGCTCCCTGAGAATATAATACTGTTGTACAATCTGGGCTCCAAGCAGCAGATAATATAGGAAACATTCCTTTAACTATAACAGAGCGAAGCATGCCACTACGTGACCAAATTTTCATTAAACCATCTTCACCAGCTAAAATTATGATATAGATTTGAATGAACAATTAATTTAGTAATCACTTCAATTAAAGTATTTTAATTACCAGTCAAAAGTGCAGTGCCATCATTATTCCACCTTCCTACTGTTGTTGCTCCCTTATGAGCATCTATACTTTTTTCTATTCGTCCATTTTTATTAACTAAATGATATTTTCCTGTTGTAAAAACAATTAGAACAAATATTGATAATATTAATGCTATAAAAGAAAGGTATATAGTACTTTGAGATTTCCAATAGTTAACAAATCAAATTATAACTGAAGTATAATACACTTCAATAATAGCTTTTAGTATTAAAATAAATACCATCAGCTGTAGTAATTAAAAGAACATCTAATGATTGTTTTTTGGTAATTAGTACTGCATAGTGCGGCCGCGGATGCCATTGCATATCCGTTGGATAAAAATCATCAGGAAATTCTGTAACAATACTTGAATGCGCAATTCCGCCCTCCAAGTGCCACGATATTAATAAATGATCTTCGCTATAAAAAAAAAGGGCAATCATTTACTTTGTTTGTATGATTTTCTGTAAGTATTAAAACATACCCACAAGAGTAAATTTCTTCCGCCGAACTCCATGCTACGCAAGTTACCAAGCGCTTGTGACCATTACGATGTTGTGCAGATATTTTGAATCTCATTTTGCATCTGAATGTCACCTTAATTCGTGTCTAAATATATGTGTAAATACGATCGTAACTTCATGTAAAATTCCTATACATTTGACGTCGAACAACGTGAACATTCTATATACAAATTCGATCGCGTGCTTAGGCGAACCTTGAAGCCCAGGAATTTGTGGGGTGTAGTTACTATAGTAACAGAGTAGTACACATGTGTATTACGTTCATATTATTAAATATACATTAAAATATCGTATATGCATTATTTTTGTTATGAATGTTACATGAATAAAATGCTTTGATCACTATTCAATTTTTAACTATAATTTGTGCATATATAATAAATGTAATGAAAACTCATAGGTTGAAACCCAATTTTACACACGTTTATTAAAGCTTTCTCAATACAATTCATTAATCTTCATTAGCACAACCTCATACGTCTCCCCACGATACAAATAAATCCAGGAAGCTGGTGATTCCTGGTAAGGGTACCAGCACCTGGACTTCACAACCTTTTCATTTTCACTTTTATAAACGATGATGTCTCACAGTGTTACAAACATTTCTTAACGCGATGATACAATGCCGGCATTGGAAGATATCGCTTACATTGAATGCAATGTAATAATTATATATAAAATAGAACATTTTGGAGATAACGCTCAGATCTGTACAACCAAGAAATTATACATTCATTGTGTATACATATTATATATATATATATATCTCTATTCACGTAGATCTATATAAATGTACATACACGTTATTTTGTATCCTTATACATATGCTTACAGACTATCACGCAGTTCTCGCGGATGAATAGTTAGGATAGTTGGTCGCATGAAGATAAAAAAATGAAACCATACATTGCGATGAAAATGAGAGAAGAGAAAGATATGTTAGAAAGATAAGGAAACGGACAAATACAATAAGAGGTAACAAAAATATCATTTGTCGTAATACGTAATGACGAGACTCGTGACAAAAAAAAAAAAATAAATTCGGAGATTCAATAGACAGGACGTGCTGCATTGTCATATGCACACTTAACAATTGCTCAGTGTATTATCGTTCCTAGTCGAGGAACAACCGTGCATTCTTTCAACATATTGATGACATACTTAAAATGCTCCCAAAAATAGCTTGAAAATTTCACACTTTATTTCTAGAAAGTATTACTAATCCTATATTATTTATCAAAAATAAATACATTAAAATTTTACTCAAATAGTATTTTGCACAATAATTGCAATATTATTAATAAAAAAATAAGCTGTGTTAAAAAAATTTGATTAAATAGTATAATATACAAATTGTTTACTTCTGAAGATTATATCTACAAATATAGTGGGAAATGTTCAAGCCGTGTAACAACTATCCTGAGAAACATTCTGTACAGAATATATTAAACTCGTTTGGTACCGCATAACAGCTTAGCAAAAAACGCCTCGTGGTATTTACACCTATGTTACTACGTTACTCACTTTCTCAATTATTTTTGCTTATTACAATTCTTAAGAGTACGCGTTATTAATATCATTACATCAACACCCTATTTTTAATCTCTATGTTTTGATTAATACGTAACCTTGGTTTATCATCTTTGACAAAGGACACGTTTTGTTTTTTTTGTTTCATCATATTCAAATCGATATCGACGATATCGCGATATTAATATTTTACAATCGTTATTATTGCGGTGTCGATAATAAACATCTGCAATGTGCATCTTTCATATTTACAACTTTTTCTAATTAAAATCCTTTACATCTCTATCATTTCTTGTTATAAATAATATATCATTATGCTATGACGCTCATATTATTCCTCATCAATTTTTTTTGTTTTGTTTTTTTTGGCATAGGAACCTTTTCGTCTCACGCATTATCGAGCTTCTTTCTAACCAACACCTTCTAATACTGTTCGTTTTTAAATTATGCGGATACAATTCGTTTTCAATGGCAGTACTTACGATACTTTTCAACATAGCGTACGTACGTGCAGACAGATTTACGTATACACGTAATATTCTAAACTCACCCTGTTTGCCAACTGTTGAAAAGTAGTAATACCAGTTGGCGGATCATTATTGCATTTTCGTTACATTGCAAATAATTGTGAAGGCGTTTGCATTAAAATACTGTATCATTTCAAGCGTTATAATCTGTTCAACATCGGATATTTTAATAATTCATGGTAATAATAAAATCGGGTTGTTTCGATTATTTACCCAGATACTAACATTATAATTGAAAATTTAATTTTTCTTAATATTTTCTGCGATTTCATTTAAAATGGTTAGTTGAAATACAAACACAAGACCCTGATAATATGAGTAATTCTTGCAGCTGCCCTTCTAGTTCTTTATTTTTGTTCGTACCTCTTGATAGATGATTACGCAAAGTTTTCATAAAACGATTCAATAAAATTATTCACTTTCCTCCGAAGATAGCTAAAAATGTTCCAAGACACAAAACCATGTCTTGTTACATAAAATGCTTCTAGAAAATCATGTAAATTACGAATTAATACATAATTACAGATTCTTATGTACAAACGTACAGTCTCGTCATGGAATGGTATGATAATATATATACATATACATATACGTGTATACATATACATATATATATATATTTACCATTTAGCTTAAATACCCTTACAATTGTTTCTTTGCTACTATAATACAACCATTAGACTAAGATTTCATATTACTGGCGGACATTGTACAATGTCAACGACGACGAAGAGTAAACGATACTGTTAAAATTTCATGATTAAAAACTGCAAATTTGAGAAGTATACATACTAGTCGTGAAAACTGTCCAATTTCAATAATGATCGTATACCAAATATTTAAGAACGGATAGACAATTAAAAAACTGAGATCAACGAAAAACGATCGGGGAAATGGTAAAGAATAAACGTGATCGCCATGTTTTCCTTTTGCTACATGTTTTGAGAGCATAAGCAGACTTAAAAATAGCGAAAACAAGTTTCTACAGAAAGAAGCTCAGTTCAACGCGTGACTGTTTCTACGTCTTAGGAACACCCTACTGTTAACAGGATAAACTCTAGTCAACAGTATCAATGAGCTGCCAAGAGCCAATTTCACAGGAGCCTGTCGACCACCGGGTAACCTGATGAAAACTGTGGCTACAGCTGCGACACCATCGTCCGTAGGCTCAATTGCCACTGGTCTTACGTCACTGTGAAAGCTAACTAATTTATTACGTCTACTTTTCCGCTGAGGTGAACTCGGACTACAGTCGTTTCCGTCTCGATCGTAAATAATAGTAGCCGATGCAAAAGGTCTTTTAGCCATATGTAACATCTCGACAACGTGTCTTCTCCGTGCTCTTCGAACATCCGCTGCCTGTTTAGTTTTCCACGCGACCACGCAACCAGCCAAGAACAAAAAAAAACAGGAAAAGAACACGGAGAAGAAGACAAATAGATCGATATGAAGTTGATCCTGTCGAAAGAAGATCATCCCGAAAGCGGCCTGACTGATTTCCGAATGTATGGGATCGATTGCTCTTAATGCGATATGAAATTTCGTTTGATGAAGTTCATGTTTATCCTGCGGTAGTGTTAGCACTAATCGATTCGTAAGGTTCCGCACAACCAAGAACGTGTTTCTTTTCTCAATTGTTAGAAAAGTAGCCAAACCTTCTGCGTAACGTTCCATCACAATGTACTGAGGACCAGTATTCCAGTTTGGTTCAGTAGTAGTGCCATTGGATGCAAACGAAAATGTATTATGTGGATGAAATTCGACGATTCTCATTCGACTTCGAGTGTGTTCATCTAACCACATGTGTGGATCTTTACGCCATACGAATCTACCGTCAAGTTCAACCTAAACATAATTTCACGTTAAAATAAAACCTAGAACCTAATACATTGCAAGTGGAGGAAATATTTATAATACATACGTCTTGATAGCCTGTCGTGGAGTTTATATTAACGACGAAAGAATCGTCACGAGGGCTAAGAAATAAATCTAAAGCCCCTCGAGTTACATCTACCATAACTCTAATGTCGACATTCAAAAAACGAGGTTGCACCAAGTAAAATACCGTTTGTCCGGGATTTAATGGTTTTGGTTTCATTTTGCACTCATCTGTAATGAATGAAAACCCATTTTTATGTATAAAAGCGAAAAAAAAACATTGATAACAGACATGTAATGTATTAATGGAGGAGTACGAACCGTAAGATCCTCCAGACATAATAGAATGTTTAAGAAAAGTAATATTTAATTAAAATGCAACGTGATATGCACAGAATTTTTTAAGTGAAATGAACATAAAATAATATAACAAAAGAATATTACTATTTATAATATCTGAACCAATTAAATATGTACCTATTAATTTGGAGTCAAAGCACATCTTGTTATCAACAGTGACTGTTTTATAACATTGATGACCCATTGTTGGTTCACCAGCATAATTTTCCTTGCATTTACTGCATTGTACCATCCAGCATGGTTTGCCACCAGCAATTGTACCCTTCATAGGTCCGCTAGTACAAGATGGTTCACTTTCAGTATTATTACCACAATTACATTTTTCTCCTGTTACAGGATCACAAGTAAATCCATGTCCGTGGCATTCACAACTAAAAAAAAATTCTTTTGAAATGATATATCAAATGGTATGTTTAAACAAAAAAATTCCTATAATTCCATTACTAACGGTCGGCATACGTCACGAAGATCTTCCGTTCCTCTGAAATAACCAGTCATGCATTCACCACATTTGTCACCTTTCGTATTATTTCCACAATTTACGCATTTTGCTTTAGCTACAGGGCCCTCAACTAATTGTTTTTTTAATAATTCTATAGACATTTTATCAATTGAATTTGGGTCCCATCATATTCTTAATATAAGAAATAAATTACCGGTACGGTCATGCTTTCATTAATACAAATTCGAGTATGACCATTACAATACTCAAGACATGGTACACATTGTCCATTGTCTGCTGGATTTCCAACAAATAAAGGCAAACATTTGTCACATTGTGGTCCCATTGTATTATTATGACACTCTAAGCACACGTCTAATTTATCTGGCCCTGCACACTTGCTGTGGCCATTACATTGGCATTGAATAGAACAATTGGCACCTACGTAACCGAAGTCACAACGACAAACATTTGGTTTTACACACGTTCCTCTAACGCAACCTTGCATACACATCGGAACACAAATTTTTCTAAAAATAAAAATACATTATGTATATATAATAAAAACATTAGAAGTGACATATACGAATATCAAATGTGTAACTTGAGCCTCACCTCCCAAATTCATTGAATGACGATGGACTAAAATAAATATAAGATAATTAATAAATTGTCTTTATCTATTTATTAAAGTTAACAAAGTAAAATAATGAAATTACGTTTCAGTTTTATATCCATCGCCGCACATACATTCGAATCCTTCCTTCAAGTCGTAACATTTTTCACTTTTTGGGGAACATGTATGGTGTCCGTTGGTGCATTCGTTTTCAGGTGGACACCATACGTAATGCCAAGAAAATACTGGTTTCGGTATTACATTTGGAATTAACATTGTAACATTGTCTGGGGTTTCGAAAGACTCTAAATAATGTGGGAATAACGTAGTTATGAATGCTGCAACATTTCACATGTTCCACCTGCTGGATGATCTGTAGGTGCTTCAAGTGAGCCTTCTGTACATATTCCTTGACCTGTTAAGTTAGCTGAATCCAGAGAGCACCAACCACAGTGTGAATGTTTTAAACATGTACTACATTGTTTGAAAACTGAACATGGTTCAGGACAATGATCCATATCAGAACTACGTAATACTAAACCACACACGCCGCCAGCACAATACAGAGGTTGATATGATGGAGAAATGCACTAAAATTTGTTCAAAGATAGTGAGATTTCAGTTATTTGATTAAATTTTTTTACAGTTATATATTTACTTCGTTAAGTTGGGTAGACCATCTACATTCTCGCCATCCACCTTCAGCCCCTGTACCCTTTAGACAATTTCTACAGTCTTTATGATCGGCGCATCGTTTTTCACACTGCGTACTTCCCATTTTAATGCTCGATCTTTCAAAAATGTTATCTGGTACACAATTCCAATCATACACAGGTTCGCCTGTTACAGCAAGTCCCGATTCCGCTAAAAATATTTTTAGTAATTAGTCCATACACACTACTGCATTTTTCAATGAATTTATAAAACTTACCAGTTTTCAAAACTTGTCTTGTCCATACGCAACCTTCAAGGCTGTTACATTTCTCACAATCACTTGCTGGACATTTTCGCTCCCCACACTGATTTACATCTGTCACTGATATTCGCCTAAAGCTACATTTGTTTAATTCGTCGCAATCCTTATCGGACGGTATACACTTTCCATTCGGACAATTTGTACACCATTTACACACTGGATCTTTACTTCTATAATATGGCCATTCAGCTAAACATTCTGTGCAAGTTTTGAAGTTTTGACATTTTCTACTCGCCATCCATTCTGAACTACAAAACATTCTTGACTCTTCAGTTATATTAATATCACATCTAAAATGGATACTTCTTTAGTATATTTGAAAGTACTTATACTTATATTTAGTTAAATATAAAAATTTACCGATCATCTTCGTTAATTAATATTTCGTTAGAAAAACACAAAGACGTTTTGTTTCCGCTATTTATATTATCAGAACAAAAAGAACATCCAAAATATGTTCTGCAAGTTATTTTATTTGTCCAAAGATTACACAGATCTTTGGGTATATTTATAAGAGTGACATGACTTTTAATTCCACCATCGAAACCGCCAACTACATACACAGCATTAGACTCTGGATCAGCATGAGTCATTGCATGAGCATATGCCGGCGGAGGTGGACTTCCGATAACTTCCATATCTTTTGTTATTAAACGTATCCACAAATTACACGAATATTTATAAGCAATTAACGAATCAGAAGTATTATGTGGATTTTGGCGACCACCAAATATAACCATATATTCATCAGTGGTAACTGCAGAATGAAGGAATCTAGCTTGTGGCTGTAAGAAAATATTCTTATGGTTAGTTCTAATTTATTTGGTAAAATAATAATTAAAGAAACTGTTTACTCACTAAACTACTTCCATCAGTGAGATCATCACCAAATGGTGGAAGTACAGACCATGTACGATTTTTATAATTCAATGCATACAATTTGTTAGAAATAAATGTTCGATTTATTGCATAAGTATATCCACCGAAAATGTAGAAACTATCTGACTTGCTGTGGTATACAGTTGAGTGACCATATACTCCCAATGGTCCATTTCCAACTGTATTTATTGTATCCCATGTCTCCTTTTCTAGGTTGAATTCCCATACTGTATCAAGATAGCCATACTTAGGACTAAACCCTCCAATCAATATTAGACTCTCTGATTCTCCGTTTCTGCGTAAAGTTAACGTATGTCCAGCTAAAGGTGGTGGTTCTCTTTTAGATTCATCTTGAGTGATTTGCATCCACCTTTGATTTTGCAGGCTAAATTTCCAGAAATCGCTCAGAGTGTTGTTTGATAGTCCTTGAACATCCTCTTCTTTCATTGACAAACCACCATAAACATATATCTGTTGCCTGCTGTGAACTATTTCAGTTGCATGAAAATATCTACCTTGAGGCATAGAGGCCTCCGAAGTAGATTCTACAGTAATAGGCATCCATGTGTTATTCTTTGTATCAAAAAGTCTAATATCATTCAAAGGACCATGACTAAGAGAGTATCCTCCAAACATCCACAAACTTCCCCTTCTGTCAGCAACCAATGTATGACCAAATCGTGGTAAAGTTTTTCGCAAATGATCTAAGTGATCAGCCAAATATTCGGAGTTAAATAATTCAGTGAAAATTAATTGATGCTCTTTAATTTGAATCGAACAATCACGTCCTCCATAACCAGATGCACAAACGCAACGTCCGTAACCCTTATCACAAACTCCTTGTTTCTTAGATGAAGTGCAATTATTAGGACATATTTCAATGTCACAATTGATTCCTACAAAACCAACTTTACACAAACAATTATCGTTTCGACATTCCCTATTTCCAGGACAATTATTACAGGTCAGTATCAAATAACTTGCATTAAAACCCTCTACTTCGTCCAATTGTTTGTAATGTACAGTTAGAAATCCGGACTTAGCTTCTACCGTGACAGGGTAGTTTGTACTTTCTGTACAGTAAACACCTAGGAGTTGACTTTGATGACTGGTCGACGATGAAACAAATTCAGGAAGTCCGTCATAAACGTAAACGCTGTTCTCTTGGCAACTAACATTTATGTCGTCGTGTATAGTGAATTGTATTACACTTTGCGTTCCTGAGAGCATGTTATCCGTTGAAAAATTCGTCTTCGGACTAACTATCCAAAGACACTCCCTTGTTGGAGAATCTCCAAGATGACTTTCCCATAGCGATTGTTGCGAGTGTCTGCTGCCAAGACCTTGTTTACCACTTCCTTCTCCCCCAAGCATACCTCGTGACATACAACCGTAGTAACACATTCCACCGTCTCGTGGATCACCATAATAGCCTTTCTTGCAACGTTGACACATATCTCCCTGTGTATCATCGCGACAGAAACATACACCAGTTTGTCGATCGCAAATGCCTTGGTCTTTATCTCCATGCTCGTTACAGTTACACTTTTTGCATCCAAGTGGTGTAGTAGCATTACCATAGCTGCCTGCTTTACATTCTTGGCAATAAGTACCGGTAGTCCAATCTTGACATTCATCACAAATACCTGGCTCTTTTACACAAGTAGAATGATTATAACAACCGCAATTTGTTCCACAATCTTTTCCTGTCCATCCAAGGTAACATTCACATTTGTAATCAGGTGCTTCACTACAGTAACCGTTAATGCACTTTTCGTCACAAGTTTTAGTGCAATTCTCTTTACCATCGCCGTTAAAACCTCTCTTGCATTGACAACTAAAACTACCGTGAGTATTTGTGCATACTGCATCAGGATGACAATCATGCAAACCTAAATCACATTCGTCCACGTCTGGACACTGAGCGTATGCCCAACCGAATTCGTCTGCCTCTAGGGTAGTATTTTGATATTCATTTATGACTAAACTGCAATTGACGTGCGGCTGATTGAAGTCTCCTTGTACACATGCTCCCATAATAGGGTTTTCTAAACTGTAACACCAACCGCAACTCAATGAGTGCAGACAACTGGAGCAGTTTGTGTGTCGACTACAGCTTTTGCACTGATCGTTGCCTGTTAAAGATGATCCAGATCTTGATGTTACTCCCATGAGACCAGCTTGATCCATCCATTCTCGACATAAACCAAACTGATATTCAGACGTGTACACTGAAAACGAAAAACATTCCTGTGTGGCCTCACACCACACACATCTTCCACGCTCGTCTAAACATTGTGTACAATTTGAACGTTGCCTACAAGGAATTGGACACTGATCAAGGCTAATAACTGCATTAGGTAGTCTACCTATTCTCGCACAAAGAGCTTCTTCTGTCCACCATTCACATAAATTACTACCCACACAAGATTCACATGAGATGTAATTAGAACAATTAGCACAAGCGGAAGGAGTAATAGTTAAATAGTGCCATTCGCGAATCGGATTACCATCTTCTCCCCATTCTACATTAGCTGCACAACTTTCCGTTTCGTTGGCTGAACGTGAAAGACACTTATTAATAATATCACACCAACCGCATGAAGAATCGGTTAAACAATGAAGACAATTTTTATACTGGTGACAAGATCCGTTTTGATATGGTTCAAGATATTCGAAAGTAAAGACTTTTGGATTCTCGGTCTTTTTGTTGTGAGTAATTTCCATTTTACTGGCATATGCGTAACTCGTAGTAACCATTCTCTTCGACTCGAAATCTAATAAATATCGACCTGGCATCAACATCATTTGATGACCATCGGGCCATTTTGTTGGAATGCACTGCGATGTCTCGGCAGTTAAATTTGCAACTAATTCCTAAACAAATTTAATTTAATTTGATTTAAAGATATTGTGAATATAAAAAAAAAAGAAAAATCTTTTCCTTATTATTATTACGTATTATTAAACGTTTCAAAAGAAGGATTATGCTTTACACTAAACAACAATTTGAAATATTAAATTGAAAAATAGGAAGATAATTTACCAATTTTTGAGGGTCATCGTTTCTTGATACGTGTAGAGTTGCACTGTTATAACTGACACAAATTTTCAAATGTTCCATTGTGCTATCCCAAAAATATTGCGGCGGTCTGAGAAAACCAATTAATCTAGCAATCATTTCTCCGCCAAGGGCAGATTCTGTTTTTGCACCTTGCATAGATGGAACGTTAAAATCTACTGTAGTGGCATTAACTATTGTTACTGAATCTGGTTGACTAAAATTTACTGGTGGTTTGTATTTTAAAAATGTTAATCCTGGCCTCTTATCCATTTCCCGGCACTCTTCGACTTTTATAACTTCTGTACCTTTCGAACCCCACCATCCTGGTATTTGCGATGGTGTATCATCACGAAGCCCACAAACCCCATAATTATCATCTTTATGATGACAACGTGCATTTTGAACACACCAAGTGCAAGTTCCACGATTTAACTTATTGGACACAGATTTTTTTCCACTTGCAGTTGTACCCCAACCTCCACCAGGTTGACCATGTATTAAACAAGAATGACAATCTCCAAGCGCAGGACAAACGCCTGGACAGCGTGTCGTTTGAAGATTTGTTGTACAATTACTGCCAATAGTTCTACCGTAACATATCTGAATCAAGTTAAAAATATTTACTATTTGAAAAATAATAGTTATACTTTATGTTTTAAGAGCATACCTCGTCTGCCGAACACCAACCACATTCAGGATTAGCTGTGCATTCCATTAAACTTTTATGTCTTGAACAAATCTGTTCAGGTTCTATATAATCTTCATCTCCCGGTGCAAGCATCGGTGGTAATGTATACGCAAGTAAATCTGCATTTACGTTTCCGTGGTAACCGCCAACTAATAGCAAAGTATTTCCATTTCGCACATCTGCTGCATGTGCAAATACACCTTGTTGCTTTGGATAACGAGAGTCTAAAGACGTTATGTTACATGTTTTAAAATAAAATGAGATGAATTTTACATGATTTTTGTTTTAACTGTTAGAAAAATCAATTTACCTTTGTCATTTAAACCTAGCACATCATGGCTTACCCAGGCATGGCAGCCTAAGTGATAGAGATACATCTGATTATCATAACAAATTTCTTCTTTGTTATGTCTATGAGAATATCCACCAAATACGACTAAATAATTCCCTGTAAAATTAATTGAGCAACGTTTGTTGATATAATCGTCATTGAAATGTATCGTCTGATTATTTGTTCAATAATGAATATATAATAAAAACATTTAAGCACCTATGATATTACAAGTGTGAAATGCCCGTTCTCTTGGAACATAAGTATCTCTTAAGTGTGCTCGTGGATAATGAATTTCAGACCAAACTTTTCTGTCAAGTTGGAACACAAACATTCTATCAGATAATTTACTAAATCGTGCTACACTAGCCACTACACCCCCATAAACTAATAAAGAATTAGTAGCGCGGTGATACACAGTTGAATGTGCAACTACGCGTACATCTAACTCTTTACCCCCTCGGGGATGCACTTCTTTCCACCTTTCTGTGCTTGCTGTAGGATCAGCTAAAATTAAAATAAATTTAATCTAAAATGTGTTATTTAAAACAAAATTAAAATATACTTTTGTTAACTTACATAAATTTAATTTAATCTTATATAGACTCGAAGAAAATTCACCATCAACTGTACTACCTCCGAAAAGGTAAATATAATCATTTGCTAAAGTGAGAGTATGTCTTGTTAATTGTGGTGGATAGAACGGGGAATTTTTTGCCCGTAACGTCCAAGAACGTGTATTAACACTATAATACCAAAGTTCATTTGATAAAGAATCATCTTGTACTTTTCCACCATATATAACAAAACCACCTACAATTAAGAACTTATAAGTAAATTATAAATTATACTGTAAGGTCATTATTTTTTTAAATTATTAATTAAACATACAACTGACCGTCATATCTACAAGCAGCATGGCCATATCGCGGACTTGGTTTAGGTAATTCATCAATCGGTGGTTTAGTAGATTCATCTTTATATGATTCATCTTCTGTTTGTTTAGGTTCTTGAATGTAAATGTTGTCTCCGATAGAATCTTCCGCACTTTGCTCCTCCCAATTTAATATGTCACTTTTTATATTTGGAACATGGTGTTCTTGATAAAGATCTAAGTTTTCAAGATTTCTACGATGTCTAATATAACAGCAAGTAAATAAGAAATTGTATTAACTGTGAATTAATATTAAATTAATATTCGGTAATTATATTGAATATATTCTTACCTTGCAGTTTGTGCATACCGAGGCTTAGGATGCCTAGAATGTTTTCTTCTAAGTTCATCATTTCTTTCTATCCTAATTGTACTTTTACTGGTTTCACCATTCCTTGATTCGTGAATCTTTCTTTCACGTTCTTTATGTTCTCCTGACCAGTCATGTCCATTTTCTATGTTGGCATGATTACGTGAACTAAAAGTATTATTGTCTTTATAACCGTTAAGTACTCTCCACATGATAGCCGATGCGCGGAGACCAAATAATTCTTTTGCACCTGCACCTATTCGTTCTAATTCGGTAGCAATAAGCTTAGGATCCAAATATTCTGCAGATGAGGTGCCTTCTGTTTTAAATGTACATGGTAAGTGTTTTTGTAATATAGTAATATCACAATTTCTATAATTACAATGAATAATTCTAGTGTTTACTACATACCTAATACACTACCATACTCGTTTTGCCACTGACTTGTACTAAATCGATATACCTCCAAATCACTGAGTATGTAATTGAGATCATAACCACCAAAAACATAAAGAGAATCAGTTTCTTTTATATAAACTGCTGTATGTGCTGCTCGTGGTCTTAATCCACCTTCTGAATGGGAAAGCCAATGCCACCTATTTATCATATATAATAATTAAAAAATAGTACCTACAAGTTAAATTTGTGCAATAGTGTGTTTAATAACATACTTGTTGCCTTCAGGATGTGTTTTATATAATGAGCAAGATTGTCCTGAGTATCCATTTCGACACTGACATCGTTTTAAACCACATTTTCCAACATTACTACAATTATTTGGACAAAGAGCTCTAGAGCAATCCTTTCCACCCCAATCATTTTCACAAAAACAGGTGTTATTAATACATTTTCCATGATTTGTACAATTATTTGGACAATTTGTAACTGAAAATTCTGCATGGAACCCATCCAAAACATAGTTTGTATCACTGTACAATAGTATTAACATCTGTAATAAAAGTTATAAATAAGCATATGTTGATACTTCCTAGTAGTCATATAGTATGAATTATTCATGTAGTTATAATTTATCATCAAACAACTTCTCATTTACTTACATAACCAGAAGATGATGTCACTTGCTGTGGTTCTGTTTTTCCACTGAAACTTCCTAGGAGAGGAGATCGAAAGGAATCTCCATCATAAACAAAAACATAATCATAGCTGCATTCTGTTCCCATTGTACGAAAACTCAAAGTAATAAATTGACGGCTGTTGTTTGCTGTAACATATTACAGACTGAACAATTATAAACAAAGTAAACAATAAAGAAAAATTTTTGTAAATATTTTATAACACTCTTTGTACCTTTTATGAGCCATTCACAATGAGAATCTTGAGTATAATTTGAGCCTAAAGGTCCATCACTGATAATCCCCCAGGAATCAGTAAAAACTTTCCTTGTCTTATCACATGGAATTTGTTTTGGAGATGTCTGCAGAGCTAAATCCAAGCCCCGCAATAGGCAACTCCATATAGTAATCCATATTGCGGTGGACGAGACCCACCCCATTACAATATATTAGCCTCACTGCTGCTTGATAAAATAAAACTCATCATCCACGTTCATTGGATTGTTTTTTGAGCAATTATGTTGTAAGGAACTCATATAAAGAGTCATATCTGAAAGAGAATGGTTTCTGTTATTTCAATTATTCTATTATGGTTTATAA